ATGTGAAACTGTATAATTATATCTAAGTTGTTGTTTGAGAATGAATTGAAGTTTTTTTCTCCTAATTAGTATTGCTTTAAATTAATTATAGAAAAAAGGGGTAAATATAGGATTTTTTCTTCTTTCTGCCTCCTTTCATTTAAATTTGATTTGTATATTTTTTGTTGTGTATGTATGTTATGTATGTATTTTTTTTGTTTTTAATGTGTGCAAAATTTTTTGTTTTAAATGAAACGAATAAACAATTAAATAAAAAATAAAATAAAAATTCTGTATCCACATGGACTGAAAGGCCACGCTGCCAGGAAGAAGACATTAAAAAATTATTAAAAAGACTGATTAATGTTTGCAAATGTACACAGGGACCAAGAGCTTCATTTTTGGAGACAGTTCAGTTTTAGTATGGTCAGACCACTGGACATGTTTGACCAGAATGACCATTGTTAGGTTTGGAGGGAAAAGGGGGACGCTTGCAGGCCTGAGAACACCATCCTGACTGTGAAACATGGGGGTGGCAGCATTATCTTGTTGGGTTGTTTAGGCAGGAGGGACTGGTGCACTTCACAAACTAGATCCTGAGGAAAGAACATTATGTRGAAATACTGAAGYAACATCTCCAGACATCAGCCAGGAAGTTAAAGCTTGGGCATAAATGRGTTATCCAAATGGACAATGAGCTGAAGCATACTGCCAAACTGGTTACAAGTGGCTCAAGGAGAACAAAGTCAATGTTTTAGAGTGGCCATCACAAAGCCCTGATCTCAATCCTATTGGAAATTTATATGCAAATCTGAAGAGGCGTATGATGCTCTACAAACATGGCTCAATTACACCAGTTCTGTCGGGAGGAATGGACCAAAACTCCTGCCAACTATTGTGAGAAGCTTGTGGAAGGATGTCCAAAACGTTTGACCCAAGTCATACAGGCAATGGTACCAAATACTGTACTAATGAAGTGGATTCAAACATTTTGACTTTGAAGAAAGTAGTAAAAATTGTAAAAAATTCTCTCGCTCATTATTCTGGCATTTAGGAAATAGAAATGTTGGTAATTCCAATAGTCCTAGCCTGGTAAAAACCAACCCCTTGTTCTTTGCTTTCCTTCATACAGAGGGTCTGGAACCTCGGCCATTGAGAAACAATTTCTTGCTGGAGGTGTGGATTTGTTGAAGTTTAAAGCGATTGGATCTGATTTTACCCAATCGCTAACATTTGGCTGTGACATGTAGTACACCAGTTCAATTGTGAAGGAAGCTAAGCTAAGAAGCTAACTGGAAATTGCGTTTGCTGTAAACAACCATCCCCTGCTGGAAGAGACAAGTACTGAGCTGAATGGGATGGCTGTAAATAAGTGCTGCAGGCTTTGTGAGACATTTAATTTAATTTGGAAGTCTTGTCAACACAGACTGAATGACTTCATTCACTTCCTCCACTGCCATTGCTAAACTACAGGCAGACTGAAACAGCCTAGAAAATGGACATCATCGTTCACAACTCCTCCTCCTGTTTGCTGATTGGCCCGTTTGAAATTCTACCAGAGAAATCCAAGTCAAAGGGAGAACGTCCAGACAGAGCAGAGAAGAGATATTAGAACTGAGCAGAACTGCCTAGGAAGGCAATGGCCAGGCTATAACTGACATTCTGTGAGTTTATTCTGATTTCACGTCAGACAGTGTGAAAAAATGTGTCATTGTATATAGTGTATGTAAACTTCTGGTTTCAACTGTATATAAAGTAAAGAGGATTGGTCCAAGCACTGAACCCTGAGGAACTCCATGACTAACTTAGTTCTTCTGTGATGATCTAGGCTTTGATCAAAGTTTTGTAGTTTTAAAGACAGGACAGGGTTTGGACTGAACTTGACTGAACAGATTGCTGTGTGGTATGTTCAGTGCAGAATTCGTTCAGCACACATAATGACAAATGATGCATGACCTTTAGGAGTTACAGAATATATGCACAGCTTCCTGTTTCTCACAAACACGAGGGTTATTTTTATAGAAAAGACTGTCCCTGTGTTGCAGATTGGCATGATGCAGAGCTGATGCGAGATATTGAAGCTGCAACAGGGGAGGACCTCGGTTCTGATCGCGTTCCTGGGAAGAAAAGGAAAGGGAAGAAGAAGAAGTATCCCAACCTGAGTGATCTGAAGCAGAGCAGCAACACAACCCGCTCCAGGCTGGAGAAAAAGGTTTTTAATAAGTATGTAAACAGCCCTCTGTGTGTGAAACTGCTTAAACCTGGAGTTATTTGATGTATAACTGGTTAAACCTGGAGTTATTTGATGTGTAACTGGTTAAACCTGAAGCTATTTGATTTATAACCGGTTAAACCTGGAATTATTTGATTTATAAGTGGTTAAACCTGAAGTTATTTGATTTATAACTAATTAAACCTGGAGTTATTTGATTTATAACTGGTTAAACCTGGAGTTACTTGATGTGTAACCGGTTAAACCTGGGGTTATTTGATGTGTAACTGGTTAAACCTGAAGTTATTTGATTTATAAATAGTTAAACCTGGAGTTATTTGATGTATAACTGGTTAAACCTGGAGTTATTTGATTTATAACTGGTTAAACCTGAAGTTATTTGTTGTGTAACTGGTTAAACCTGGAGTTATTTGATGTATAACTGGTTAAACCTGGAGTTATTTTATGTATAACTGGTTAAACCTGGAGTTATTTTATTTATAACTGCTTAAACCTGAAGTTATTTGATTTATAACTAGTTAAACCTGGAGTTATTTGATGTATAACTGGTTAAACCTGGAGTTATTTGATGTATAACTGGTTAAACCTGGAGTTATTCGATGTATAACTGGTTAAACCTGGAGTTATTTGATTTATAACTAGTTAAACCTGGAATTATTTGATGTATAACTGGTTAAACCTGGAGTTGTTTCTTTCTGTAGGAGCTCCATGCGCAGAGTGGCTCAGGTGATGATTAAAGCTGACCGGAGGAAACACGACAAGTTCTCCAACCAGTTCAACTACGCTCTGCACTGACCTTCCTCTGCTTCCATCTGTCTTCTGATGATTGGTGAAAGTCTTCATTCCACACCAGGTCCAGATATGTGTTACAGATGATTGGAGCAAGTTTTATTCAGCTGAAGCAGATGTTCTGTGTTTAATATCATTTGTTATTCAATAAATCTGTTTTTTTTTTTCAGGTTCAGATGACTGAATGAAGATTACCAGCTCTATTTTTACACTTTTTTAGCGGTTGATTTGATGAAAAAGAAGTTTTTTTTGTAGATGTCATTTTTTGGTGTTCGCAGTGCTTTGAGCAGTCGTCTTACGGATGAGTTGAAGGTTTGTTTTCAGAATATTTTATCTTTGTAGAGAAGTATAGTGTCTGAGTGTGTTAATGGATTATTAATGATAATTATGTGATAATGGATGTTAATTGAGGGAACAGATTGTTGTACAGTGTTGTAACATTTTTTAAAAAGATGCTGTTATTGATTTAATATTTATTGTTAATGTTGTCTTTATTGTAAAATTACCATCATTTGTACTTTTTCTGATATATTTTTTTCTTTGGTTGGTTGATGGAGATGTTGGGATTAAAATAAAGGTGATTTGTAGCTGAAGAAGACCATTCTCTTCCTCCTCTTTCCTGTTGTGTTGCTGACTGTGTTGTTTTAATCAGGTTCATTAAGAGAATGTGTGAAAAAAATAAAATAAACAAAGAATGAACATAAACGCAGGCCAGTAAATATCTCATTAAATTTAATAAAACATTCGAAAAAGTTTTGGTTTTCAATGAGACAAACAGGACAGTTTACACCTTTCCACTTCAGAAAACTGTTGCTGCTTTACAGTTAAAGTTCAGTATTTCACCAAAAAAGTAAAAAGACAATGTTTGGAATTAGTTTTAATCTGAAACATTACACCCTACATTTCCCACAATGCAACTCATTAGTCACCTTCAAGCATTTGTTCTGCGCAGTATAACCTGCAGCTGTTAAACTGCAGCCCCCTCTGTTCAGAAGCTTCTGAATCTTCTCATTATGACCAGTGGAGGAACGTGCTCAGTGCCCCTAAACAGCTACAGACCAGTCCGAGGGCTCATGCTGAAACTATCAGAACCGTTCCTGAGCGGGAGAATAAAAACTGATGCTCAGGTGCGGACAGGATGGTGTTCCCGTGGAGAACCCAAAAAGACAGATGTGTTCAGAGGTGGTGGAGGAACTGGGTTCTGATTGGGTGGAAGAAAAGGGAAATGTCCTGATGGTTGGGTGGATTGGCAAATGTTTTGGATCTGGTTCTCTGATTTCTAACTTGTTTGGAGAAACACAGGACAAAGAGGACAATGACAGAACATTGGCTCAGTTTAGTTGATCCTAACACATTCTCACTCCCGACTCGTCAACATATTGACACTTTTCCAAGGTTCCCTCTGTATCTTATTTTGACGCGTCGGGTAACCCCCTCGCGTCAGTCCTTGCCGCCCGTGGCTTTTCTGGGTTGTGCCACCAGGGGTCTTTGGGTCGAGGGTCTGAGGTTAACATGATGAATCAGGATAAATGGTTAAGTTTAGGTACTGGGGTCAGGGATAGGATGTCAACGGCAAATATTAGGTAATTTTAGGCTTTGGAACATGTGGTTGACGTGAATTTCCTACATTTTCTAAAAATGGTTAATTTTAGGTGTCAGGGTCAGGAACAGGATGTCTAAAGTGAATAAAGGTAATTTCAGGCTTTGGGACAGTAGTTTTTGTGCATTTTCTACACTTTCTGAAAATATGACAACAGATTCCACCCCATCTCGTCAATAACTGACGTGATGGTGTTACCCGATGCGTCAAAATCGAACGCAGAAGGAACCTTGGAAAAGTGTCCATATGTGACGACTTGGGATTGGGAATGGGTTGTTGATTCCTGATTCTGGTTCTACTGGAGATTTCTTTATGTTGAACGGGTTGTTGTGTTTTCCTGTCAGGATGGGGGCTTGAATCTCCTCCACTCCTGGAATCATGCTATGGTAATGAACTCATCGTACCTTGATCCTCAGACTTTACCCCACTCAAAGGTGGACTTGATGACTGGTCTAAGGAGATACTCAGAGTATTCCTCCAGTCTGGGTCAGCAGTACCCAAACCAAACACAGCTTGGGACAAGGCCCACTTTCCTTTTTACAACTGGTCCAACAGTTTACCAGAACCTCCACAGGTGATCAGTCGACATCTCTTTACCCGGTGTCCAAAACATAAAGCCTGATGAAATTATTCCAAAATCCATCCTTCGACCTAAGGTAGACACCTAGGACCATGTAGATTACATAGACTTATGGACCACCTTCTGCTCTAACATGATGGTTGTTAAGGACAGCCCATATGAAGCACAGAGGTCTAAAGACCCACTCTCCCAGGAGAACAACTCCTTCCAGTATCATCCAAAGATTCCAAGAAGGCCAGGCAATCTTAACGATGCAGAATCCCAAACAACAGTCAGAACTTTCCCTCCTGAAGCGTGAAGCCACAGAGAAGAAACTTGTTTAACTGGAGGAAGTCCAACAGATGGGGCTTGGGAGGACCCCCACACCCACCTGACACCTCGTAAAGAGTCTAACCTCTGTCCTGGACTTTGGTTCCAGAGGTGAGTTGGTATCACTCGACCTGACCTTTAGGTTCCTGCTCCAGTGTTGGCGATGAAGTGAGGTGAGGTTCTTGCACCTAAAGTCAGGACTGAGTCAGAGCTCTGCCATCTGGTTCACACTAAGGCCAATCCTTGCAGATAATTTAGACTTCGCCTAGCTGAGCCTCAGGGTCCAAGGTCTGACCAGAGAACTCCCCCGGCTACAGCTAGGTGCCTCAGTTTCTTGGTTCTGGGTGAAGTAACATGTTTTCTGTGGTGTTCCTTTATCAAAAACCGGAGACGAACCATGGAGGGTCTCAAACACTTTGGTGACATGTCATAGAAACCTGGTTTTATCAAAACAATGTGAGCTTCCTGAAACTTACTGAAGGAATATATCTGAGCCGTTCCTCTGACCGTAAGCTTTGAGGACTTCTGTCTGGAGATTGTTTTGGACATACGTCATATTTAAGGTTTCATTTTAAGTCTCATTTTCTCATAAACTCTGTACCAGTACTGTTAAACCTGTTTTACCTGTTTTCTTTTTCACGTTTAGTGCTCTTTGAACCAACATTGGATCAGGAAGTTGTCAAATTTTGGGGGTCTTATTTGGAAAGTTACATGTTTTACATGTTTCTGTCATCTTTAAAGTCCAAACACTGAAACTAGGACATGTCTTTCCTCTCTCCATGGGACCAACACAAGGAAACTAAATATAACGTTTGATTTAACAAGACAGAAAAGCTTAACTAAATCTTTATAACTGTTTCTTTCACCTCTCTGTTTGTGAACCTGCTTTTATAAAATGTATTTTTTCGTCATGTTTTAGATCTAAACCCACTTTTAGAAGTTTTAAACCTTGTTTCCTGCTGGGACATCCTGTTTCTCCGTCACTTTGTAAAGATACTTTATAAACCAGTCTGTCAGTGAGAAGAACATGAAGCTTTCAACCTGTGCCAGCTCACAGACGGACTGAGGAAACGTCCAATCAGAGCTGGTCTGGATGGTCCAATCAGGCCTTCCTGCTCACCTGACGGCTTTGACATGAACCAGAACCATTTCCCGGGTTTTCCTCTGTTTAAGGTCAACATTTTTGTGTTGATGTGAGGAGAGGAGAAGAACTAATAGAACGGATCACAGCTGACGGATACAACAACTTCTTAGCATCAAAAAGAAACATTCAGTGTTTGAACAGACTCCAACACCCGGCTCCAAACTGGTGGTGGGGTGGACTCCATACTGTCTGTCAGTCTGTGGAGGACCCAGGTCCTCGTGGTTCTAAGGGGGCGGGTCTACAGATGTGTGCTGTAGAAGGCGGGGGCAGCGTAGCTCTGTGTCCCCAGCATGAACGGAGACAGGACGTGGCTGGCCGTCAGGAACGGCAGCTGGACCAGGCTCCCCGTGGGGGGGTGGTGGTGGCCCCCATAGCCAGCGTGCATGGCCAGGTGCCCGCTGACCGGGGGGGACGGGCTGAGGGGGCTTAGACCCCCCAGGCCCCCTCCTGATCCCCCCCCTGCCCCGCCGCCTCCTCCCGCTCCTCCCGCTCCAGTGGGGGCCGAAGTGTCGGCCCCGGGGTTCTGCTTCTTCCACTTGGTCCGGCGGTTCTGGAACCAGATCTTGACCTGGGTCTCGGTCAGGGACAGGGACAGGGCCAGGTTGAGGCGCTCGCACACGGACAGGTACCGCGTGGACTTGAACTTGTTCTCCAGCGCCACCAGCTGTTCGTAGGTGAAGGCAGTCCGAGCTCTGCGGGGCTTGCCCGACTTGGAGTCAGAACCCGAGCGTTTCCTCTTGGGTTTGGACCCGGGACCCCCGTTGCTCTGACCGCTGCTGATCTGAGCTGTGGGGCCCCCGCCGGGACTCTTGGTGTCTCTGTTGGAGTCCGGGTGGCTGTGAGGACCCAGATCTCTGTCCCCGCTGGTGGGAAGAGCCGAGCTGCTCTCCTCGCTGCTGTAGGGTCCATCAGGGGCCTCGGAGTCCGGGGTCCCAGACCTGTGGTAGTCGTCCTCGTCTGGGCTTCTGTACACAAAGGCCTCCTCTAAACACACACACACACACACACACACACAC